TATCATTTATTCCAAAATTTGATTATAAACCTGCAAAAGTATTATGGCCAAATACAGATGCACTTCGTAGTATGTCTTTAAAAAATATAAATCAGACCACAAATAACTTTACAATGAAGTATAACAACGACACTATGCAATTATGCAAAACTCAAGNTATCATTTATTCCAAAATTTGATTATAAACCTGCAAAAGTATTATGGCCAAATACAGATGCACTTCGTAGTATGTCTTTAAAAAATATAAATCAGACCACAAATAACTTTACAATGAAGTATAACAACGACACTATGCAATTATGCAAAACTCAAGTATATTTTAAATTATTTTAATCTAATATTAGTATTCTAAGCGTTCTCATATTTAATAGGTCATATTTATGTTCTAGTTTGATAAAACGACATATAAGCAATATTTGGAATTATGTTATACAAAGTATGCTGAAAGTATGTCTTTGGAGAACTTTACTGAAATGATAAATTCAAAGTTGGATAGTAAGAGTATGCAAAATGAATTACTCGATTTCCTTGGTTATGAACAATTAGAATTTATTGAGTATATTATTCAACATCGACAAAGTATTTTGGCTTTAACTTTTGCTCCTAGTCCATGTTTTCGTTCTGTTCCTAAAGCACAAAAACAATGTGACTTACAAAGACCAGTAATTACTGGTCAAGTAACAGTACAGTCTGAAAAAGAAAAACATTTATTAAAACAAGTTAGAAAAGAGGAAAAAAAATCAAATAAAATCTCGAGCAAACGCGAAGGAAATGACGTTGAATCATATGCTCTATATGCCAAAAAGCAAGAAGCATTAAAAGAATCACACACACCAATATTCAAAAAAGACACTGTTTCTAGAAAGGAAAATTATCCATTTGTATTTAAATCGGATGAAAGTAATAGGTCTGCAGTTAATTTATTAGGTTACAAAATAATGCTACCGGAAAATATTGTGAAGACTGATACACGAATATATGAGGAAATTAATATACCTATTCCAGAATCCCAACTCAACTTTGAAAATGAAATTAGTTATAAACCTATTATGATATCCACATTAGATAACATCGGACAAATGGCTTTCAGAGAAATTGAAAGTTTAAATCGAATACAAAGTATAGTGTTTAATGCAGCTTATCATACCAATGAAAATTTATTAATTTGTGCACCTACAGGTGCTGGAAAGACTAATGTTGCTATGTTAACTGTTATACATCAATTAAAACAGCATATTGAAGATGGTCAGATAATGAAAAATCAATTCAAAATAATTTATATAACACCTATGAAAGCTTTAGCAGCAGAAATGACAACAAATTTTGGTAAAAGACTCGAATGTCTTGGCATATCTGTTCGAGAACTAACTGGAGATATGCATTTAACAAAATCAGAAATTCAACAAACGCAGATGATTGTCACTACTCCAGAAAAATGGGATGTTTTAACCAGAAAGGGTAGTGGAGATATTTCTTTTACAAGCATAGTGAAATTATTAATTATTGATGAGGTACATTTATTACATGGTGATAGAGGTCCTGTAGTTGAAGCATTGGTTGCTCGAACTTTACGACAAGTGTTATCTTCACAAAGTATGATTAGAATTGTTGGACTATCAGCAACTCTGCCAAATTACTTAGATGTTGCAAAATTTTTAAGAGTGAGTCCGCGTGCAGGACTTTTTTATTTTGATCATCGCTTTCGCCCAGTGCCACTTAGTCAAACATTTATTGGTGTAAAAGCAACTGCACCCTTACAATGCTCGAATGATATGGATCATATATGTTATGATAAAGTTGTGGAAATGGTACGTGAAGGACATCAAGTTATGGTTTTTGTACATGCACGTAACGCTACAGTTAAAGTGGCGAATGCATTAAAAGATTTAGCTATACAAAATGAGACGTTGAAACTATTTATACCCAAAGGTCATGAAAAATTTGTGGGCAAAGCTTTTTCTAAATCACGTAACAAACATTTAATAGAATTATTTAATAATGGATTGTCAGTGCATCATGCTGGTTTATTACGTACAGAGCGAAATTTAGTTGAAAAATATTTTTCTAAAGGATTAATTAAGGTCTTGGTTTGCACTGCGACATTAGCTTGGGGTGTGAATTTACCTGCGCATGCAGTTATTATAAGAGGAACAGAAATATATGATTCAACACGTGGTTCATTTATGGATTTAGATATATTAGATGTTCTTCAAATTTTTGGACGTGCTGGTAGACCACAGTTTGACAGTACAGGACACGCTACAATCATTACTTCTCACAATAAACTATATCATTATTTATCGTTATTAACGAATCAAATACCTATCGAAAGCAATTTCATTAAATATTTAGAAGATAATTTAAATGCTGAAATTTCATTGGGCACAATATCAAATGTAGAAGAAGCCATAAATTGGCTGAGCTTTACTTATTTATTTGTCCGAATGAAATTAAATTATCACGTTTATGGAATCCCTTATAAAGTTATGTCGGAAGATCCAAATCTAGAGCGAAAGAGAAAAGAATTAATTCAAGTAGCAGCTCAATTACTAGATAAAGCAAAAATGATTCGATACAATGTAGATACTGGAGACCTTAATACAACAGACCTTGGACGTATAGCAAGTCACTTTTATCTTAAATATCATACAGTTGAAATTTTCAATGAACTGATGAAACCGATTATGAATGAAGCAGAAATACTTGCAATGATATCAAAATCACAAGAGTTTGAGCAATTAAAGGTGCGAGATGATGAGATTAATGAACTGCAATACATGTCTGAAAATTATTGTGAACTTGTACCACAAGGTGGTGTAGAAAATATTCATGGTAAGGTGAATATTCTGTTGCAAACATACTTATCACGTGGTCGAATTACTTCATTTTCACTGATGTCTGATCAAGCGTATATTACACAAAATGCAGTACGCATATGTAGAGCATTATTTAAAATTATGTTAAGAAAAAGTAATGCATTAATGGCTGGACGTTTACTAGAAATAGTAAAAATGTTTGAATTACAACAATGGAATATAACGAGTCCTTTACGCCAATTTTCTTGTTTGACTGCTGAAATGATTGATAAAATAGAACAACGTGAATTAACAATTGATAGATTAAATGATATGAGTGTCAAAGAAATTGGAGATATTTTACGTAATCCGAAACAAGCAACATTAGTAAAGGAATGTTGTAAAGAACTACCTATGTTAGAAATGGAGGCCACTGTACAGCCAATTACCCGTACAATTTTAAGAATACGGCTGAAAATATATCCTCAGTTTCGGTGGAATGATAGAGTACATGGCAAAACAGCAGAACATTTTTGGATATGGGTAGAAGACTCAAATACTAATGATCTTTATCATCACGAAGACTTTATGTTGACTAAAAAAATGGTTTGCAACAATTTGGAACAAGAACTTGTTATGACTATACCATTGCATGAACCACAGTCTGCTCAATACATAGTGAAAGCAACAAGCGATCGCTGGTTGAGTTGTGAAAGTATGACACCCCTTAACTTTCATAATTTAATATTACCTGACATATTTCCACCTCACACTGACTTATTGGAGTTACAACCTTTATCAGTGGAAACATTGAAAGAACCAACATTTAGAAGACTCTATAAATTTACTCATTTCAATCCTATTCAGACCCAAATTTTTCATTGTTTGTACCACACTGATAATAATGTACTTTTGGGTGCTCCAACTGGTTCAGGAAAAACGATTGTAGCTGAAATAGCTATGTTTCGAGTATTCAAACAATATCCTACGCAGAAAGTTGTGTATATTGCACCTTTGAAAGCTTTGGTACAAGAACGAATAAAGGATTGGAAAATTCGATTAGAAAATTCACTTGGAAAGAAAGTAGTAGAGTTAACTGGAGACGTATCACCGGATATTAAAGCTATAGCTAGTGCAAACGTTATTGTAACTACACCAGAAAAATGGGATGGCATTAGCAGAAGTTGGCAGACAAGAACTTATGTGAAAAATGTTGCGCTTATAATCATTGATGAAATTCACCTTTTAGGAGAAGATCGGGGTCCTGTATTAGAAGTCATTGTTTCAAGAACTAACTTTATTTCTTCTCACACAAAGAGAAAACTTAGAATTGTTGGACTATCTACAGCATTAGCTAATGCTGTGGATCTAGCTAATTGGTTAGGTATTCGAGAAATGGGAATGTATAATTTCCGCTCATCTGTACGGCCTGTACCATTAGAAATTCATATAAATGGTTTCCCTGGGAAACATTATTGTCCACGAATGGCAACAATGAATAGACCAACATTTCAAGCGATCAAGCAACATTCACCATCAAGTCCAGCTCTTATATTTGTTTCATCGCGTAGACAAACACGATTAACTGCAATGGGTTTAATCGCTTATCTAGCAGCAGAAGAAAATCCGAAACAATGGTTGCACATGCCAGAAGAAGAAATTGATAATATATCACATCATGTACAAGATTCAAGTTTGAAACTTTCACTTGCTTTTGGAATTGGTCTTCACCATGCTGGTCTTCAGGATAAAGATAAAAAAACTGTAGAAGAACTATTCGTTAATAATAGAATTCAGGTACATGCTTAAAATATACAATGATTATTATGTTACTTATAACGTAGCTTACAACTACATTTTACTATTAATTTCTACAATATGTTTCGTAATAATTTTTTATTTTCTTACCTTCTTTCCATTTTATTATACATTCTCATTTTAATTTCTTGTAATTTCATTTGATTGAGATAGTTGAGAATATTTAAATCCTACATACTTTATAAAAATATTGTTTAGGTGTTAATTGCTACAGCTACTTTGGCGTGGGGAGTAAATTTTCCTGCTCACTTGGTAGTAATAAAGGGAACAGAATACTTCGATGGTAAAGTAAAACGTTACGTGGATATGCCAATTACAGATGTACTTCAGATGATGGGTCGGGCAGGGCGACCTCAATTTGATAATTCTGGAGTAGCAGTTGTTTTAGTACATGATTTGAAGAAAAACTTTTATAAAAATTTCTTACACGAGCCGTTTCCAGTTGAATCGAGTTTATTGGCAGTACTACCAGATCATATAAATGCAGAAATTGTGGCTGGTACAATAAAAAATAAACAAGAATTTTTAGATTATTTAACATGGACTTACTTTTTTAGAAGATTAATAAAAAATCCTGTGTACTATAACTTGAGTACTCTAGAACCTCATACAATTAATGAATACTTATCTTCTTTGGTCGATAGAACAATAAAAGTGTTGATGGATTCACATTGCATTGATTTTGATGAGGTTTGTATTAAATGTAGTTTGTTAATTCTTGATAACGAATAGTTAAGTATTAATAATAATATTACGATTATGAATTTTCTTGATTATAGGATGGACAAACTATATTTCCACTGTCAATGGGTAAAATAGCATCATTTTATTACTTATCGCATCATACAATGTTGATGTTTGAACAATCATTGAATAGTTCTCTAACGCTTGAAGAGTCTTTACAAATTTTATCTAATTCTTATGAGTATAGTGAATTACCTGTAAGACACAATGAAGAATTATTAAACGAGTAAGTCACCTATTTTATTAATTGAAAAAAAATATCAATTTAAATAACTCGAATTTATTCCGATCATTTTCATTATTTTACAGGAACCTAAGTAAAATGTGTCGTTACACAGTAGACAACTACTCGTACGATTCTCCAAATACTAAAGCTTTCATATTACTTCAAGCACACTTTTCACGGCTTCCACTACCATGTGTAGATTATAGTACTGATTTAAAATTAGTTCTTGACCAAGCAATTAGAATTATTCAGGTATACATAACAATTAAATACAATGTTATGTTATGTGTATATAATATCCCCCGTCCATTTTATTAAAAATATTGGACTGATATTATTGTAAATAATTGTTTTTAGGCTATGATAGATACCGTAGCAGATCATGGCTGGCTTATATCTACACTCGTTAGTATACAGTTGCTTCAAATGATTATTCAAGCTCGATGGATAGATGAATCTGCCATAACTACATTACCTCATATAAATTCAGAAGATGTACAATTATTTTCATCTTTGTCCACAATTCTTCCTTTATTATGTAATATTGTATATAGTAAACAGAATTTGCTTGTAGAAACATTAAGTGAAAGGTTTCAAAAAAATGAAGTACAAGAGGTGAGTTTGAAATTGAAAAAGTTAAAATTATCAATCTTATTATTACCATAATGTTATTAATATTTGAACAGATATGTCAGGTGATAAAAGAAATGCCAATACTTTGTATTGATGCAAGCTTGGAAGGTCATTGGTCTGATGGTACTAAACAAAAATCTGTTATATTGAAGACAGCAAGTACTACTAGTATTGATGTACATAAAGATCAGATCTATATACTGAACATTGGAATGAAACGAAGAAATAGATCTAATAATTTAAGAGTGCATTGCCCTATGTTCCAAAAAGGAAAGGACGAGGGCTGGTTTTTGGTGTTAGGCAATACTTCTGATAAAGAATTATGGGCACTAAAACGAATAAGTGGAATAAGAGATCAACGAAAATGTCAACAATTACAGTTTACGACACCATCAAAATTAGGTATTTATGAAACTAGAAATTTTGTATTATCTTAAATGTAGTAATATTANGTCAGGTGATAAAAGAAATGCCAATACTTTGTATTGATGCAAGCTTGGAAGGTCATTGGTCTGATGGTACTAAACAAAAATCTGTTATATTGAAGACAGCAAGTACTACTAGTATTGATGTACATAAAGATCAGATCTATATACTGAACATTGGAATGAAACGAAGAAATAGATCTAATAATTTAAGAGTGCATTGCCCTATGTTCCAAAAAGGAAAGGACGAGGGCTGGTTTTTGGTGTTAGGCAATACTTCTGATAAAGAATTATGGGCACTAAAACGAATAAGTGGAATAAGAGATCAACGAAAATGTCAACAATTACAGTTTACGACACCATCAAAATTAGGTATTTATGAAACTATAAATTTTGTATTATCTTAAATGTAGTAATATTAAGTACTAAAAAGAACTGAAAATTTGTTCATTAAAGGTTGTACAGCAATTACGTTGTATTTGATGTCCGATTCTTACATAGGATTGGATCAACAATATACTATACAAATAAACATTATATCTTAATTTAATAGATATAAATATATGCTCAAAAGACTAAGATAAAATGTAAGTA